CAATCCTCGTGGGAACGAGACTCGAAATTTTACAATTTTCACTTTATTACTTGTGGACGAACCATACACTTGCGGTGATTTAAATTCGAAACATATTTTTGTGAACACTGTTGCGCTAATGCTAAGATGAGATGGGGCTGAATTGAGGTGCTGTAGGTGAGCTATAGCTGGAATTGAGCTGTGTTATGTTACAAATATCTTGTTTACGTTTTTATATAGGGCTTGTTTGGGAAAAAATTTTGGGGGAAGAATTGATTTTGAATAGTGATATGATGGGAAATGTGTGGTTGAAAAAGAAGAAAAAATTATTGATATGATGGAAAATATTATATTATTGAAGAATGTGTAGTTGAAAATGAGAATTGATTTACTGTAGAAAAATTTAATTCCTCCCAAACAGGGCCATAATGTCTTTTTCCTTTTGTGATCAGGCTAATTTTTCTTCGTTCACAAGGAGCCAAGATCCAAATAGTCTCCTTTGGTTTTGGTAATTCACTATCAAAATGGTGGGATATGATAGAGATGTATGAAAACATTGCACCACCAATCTTATGCCTTGAAGGTTTCTTATACATTATGCTTTCATTCATCACTATTATGCTATTGCAGGAATATGATGATTTCGATGAGTATGAGGAGGAGGATGGTGAGGAGTACGAGGAAGAGGGCTATGAAGGTAAGTACGAAGAGAAGGAAACCCGCCAGCCCACACATGATGTATTTGAATATCTTGAATTGAGGTAACGGTTAACAGAGACATTAAAAAAGAAGATGAAGAAGCAATTAGGGGCTGCAAATCCCAGTTCCCATGACATAGCTAATGTAGTGTACAAGGACAAGTGAGTTTCATTTGGTCGTAGTGAATTTCAGATTTTTTTTGTCCATGTGAGTTTGTTCTTGATAGAAAACCAGTGGAATCATTGATGCAATTTCTTTTCCTGAGTTTGACAAGATGTCTTACTAATTTTTCCTGTTCCAGTTAATGGAAAAATAGTATATAATATGTGCTCTCTGTGATATTTGTTATTAAGCTGTTTTAACTTTGATGTGTTGCATCTTTGGTTAGTTTCTTGGGCGTTCGCAGTAACTT